GGTGATCTCAGTCTGACGATACGCGGTCGGTGTTAACGGCACGGGGGCGTCTAAGAGCTGTGGCGTTAACCGTTTCTTTGCCTCTCTCCTCCTCTGGTGTTTGTCTGTGCAAAGGTCAGATGTTTCCGTCGGTTGGGAAGAAGAAGAGCGGAGTCGGGACCTGCTAAGTGCTGATCGGCGTGTACTCTGGACCATGGACTCATTGAGGGTGTCCCAGGTGTGAAAATGTCCAGCAGGAACCGGGAGTTAGTGATTGACTTTGTTTCCTACAAGCTCTCGCAGAAGGGATACAGCTGGAGTCAGCTGGAGGAGGAGGATGAGAACAGGACGGACTTTGCAGGGGAGGATGCCGAGACGGACGGCGTCCTCAACGGGAGCCCCTCCTGGCACCCACCCGCCAGCCACGTAGTGAACGGAGCCGCCGTGCACCGAGGCAGCCCGGAGGTCCGCGAGGTGGTCCAGGCAGACGCTGAGGGAGGCGGGCGATGAGTTCGAGCTGAGGTACCGGCGGGCTTTCAGCGACCTCACCTCCCAGCTCCACATCACCCTGGGCACGGCGTACCAGAGCTTCGAGCAGGTGGTGAACGAACTCTTCCGCGACGGAGTGAACTGGGGTCGCATCGTGGCGTTCTTCTCCTTCGGAGGAGCCCTGTGCGTGGAGAGCGTGGTCAAGGAGATGCGGGTACTGGTGGGACGCATTGTGGCTTGGATGACCACGTACTTGACCGACCACCTAGACCCTTGGATCCAGGAGAATGGCGGATGGGTAAGAGCTCTTCCCTGCAGTGGGGATGGTTGCCTGCGCCCTCCCTCGCGGCAGCGGTGCCGGTCAGACCGGAGCTCCCTGCAGTGTTTGTGCTAGTCCTTGTCCTAGACCTTGTGGGGAGGTGAAGGGGTGCGTGGCCTTTCCCTCTGTGCCCCAAGAGCCTCAGCCTACCACAGTGCCACGGTTCACACTCAGACGTGTCCTTCTCCGTCCCTGTTTGTTCTCCTTCTCCCTGGATGTTAAATAAAAGACCTGTTTCCTAAGAGCCGTTGGAAGCCTAACGTCATCCAAGCTTGTTCTTCAAGCAGGAGCCCTTGCTCTCAGGCGTGTTCCCAGTGTCATTTAACAGCAGGGAGTGGAGCTTCCTCCTCTCCGAGCGTGTAGTGCTCCTGCCGGGTGAACAACGACTTCTTCATTCTGGAGACAGGACTTTGCCTTGTGCCGTGCTCCTGGTGAACTGAATCCCACAGCAGCTCCGGGTGGGTGGGCTGCCACGGTGGGGGCAACCTCTGCTCTGGGGAGCTGCTAAACCTGCAGCTGCTTCATGCTTGGCAGGGAGCAATGCTCCCAGCTGCCCCAGCAGCAAACCCCGTAAGCTTTCGTGGTGAGGTACTAACATGAATAAGCATTTCTTCAGGAAGCATTCCTGAAATGCCGGGTCCGGCTGTGCGCTGCTGCCTGGGACTGCCAGCGGGAGGTACGCGACCTACAGATGTCCGAGTTTTCTTTCTGCTTCTGCATCTTAGTCATTCCCTGCTGGTTAACCTTTACTGGTGCCCACTGGAAAGAGTTCACGCTGTCAGACGTTAGCATCTAAGCGGTGGGAATTGCCTCCCTGGCATGCTGGTGAGCTGAGGCCCTCCAGCCCCGTTCATCTCCCAGTCCGTCAGCAGTGACCTGCACCTCGGGGAGGGGTCAGGGGAACCTTCTGGCTGGGCATTGTGCCCTGCACAGGAGCCCTGCGGAGCTCCTTGCGCCTGGCCGGCTGTGCGGGACCCCGGAGAAGTGGGACCCAGGAGTGGGTGCACCCGGGGAGAGGGAGCAGGTTCACCCAGGGTGCAGGAATTCCAGGAATGTGGCCGCCCTGGGGCACTGCCTGGGTGGGGCTGCTCGGGCCGAGGAGCTTGGTTTCGATTAATAACCCGGGATCTGCTGTCCGCTTCGTCAGGCTCTGTCTGGCCCATTAGCTCTCTCATCCTGCAGATAACCCTGGCCAAATGCTGAGTTCCTTCCCCCTCCCTCTGGCTTTGGCTTTTAAAGCCACAGATTAGTCTTGGAATTGAGTGATCAAATTGAGGTTTCCAAGCTAGTGTGGCTGTTGCTGTTAGTGACGGATCGGGCTGTATCCTGGAGACCTAGGCGATAATGCAATCTGATTTTTTGTAAATGAACTCTCTGGGGGATTTAGATTAAATCACTGGTGGAAAATCACTGGTCCCTGCTTGCAGGGAATGAAATACCTCCTCCCTCTGTTCCCCACCCCCAACCATCACGGTTAAGACTCTTCAATTTTTTTGTGTCTGTCTCTAAATTCATTGTTTGGAGCAAATATTTGCCCAACAGATTGCGGAGGGGTCAGGACTCGTCTCTGTTGACCCACCCACCAGCTCTTGCTTTGAAGATCGCCGGTAGCGTGTTTCCCATCCAGGGTAGCAGCCTTGCTCTCTTCTTCTAACCTTGAACGGGGCTCCTGACAGTGCTGCCCGGGCTGTGCTGCTGCCAGGCTGTGCCAGTGGCTGACGGGGAGCCGGGGAGGGTGGTAAAGGCTGTAGTGGGGGAGGATGCCACCCCACCAACCAGCAAGAAAAGGGCTGGGCAGCATGGCTGCTGCCAGCCTGTTGCAAACCTCAACCCAGTGGGTGTTTGATGTCTCAGCAGTAGCTTTCCTCCTCCGTGATCAGGTTTCACCATGTCCCTTCTCAGGAGGCAGCCACGGATGGCACGGTGCGGTGGTGGCACGGGGGCCGTGGGAGCTCCGGAGCGCCTGGCGCGTGGGACGTGCACGGAGATGCTCTGCTTCACTCTCGCGCGACTCCAGCTGCGGGGAGAAAACCGCTGGCCTGCTGCCAGCTCTCCCTGCAAGAAGAGAGTGCCACCTTGCACTTGCTGTGCCGGAGCGGGCGCTCCCCTGCCGCCCCGTGGGCACAGGAAGCCCGTTTGGTGCATCCGAGCTGTCAGCGCCCGTCCCACGCAAACAAAGCTCTCCCGAGAGGTGCAGCAGGCAGGTCCCGGGGAGAGGGATGCAGGTTCTGGCAGGTCTGCTGGGCAGGGAGCAGGTTTGTGTTTTGGAGCGCCGCAGCTCTTCTCTTCCTGGAAAGCCCCTCGGAAAGAGGGAAGCAGCCCGCTCGCGTGGGAGCTCCGCTTCATTCCCCACCCGTGGAACAAAGGCAGGCGTGGGATGGCTGCGGGGTCCAGGTTGGCCTTCGCAGGGGCCTGTTGGGGCTGCTGTGTGCTTGGCTGTAGCAGTTTTCCTGAGAAGCTGTTTTTTGAGGCGAGGGGGGAAATGGTGAATCTCGCTCCGTGGCGTTCACATGGGTGTATTTTGCTGCGTTTGCTGGCCCAGCCTTGGTTTGCTGTCCTCTCCGCAGTCTGGCACCGGGAAAACAAACAAACGAGGAGAACCCAAGGGGGGCATTTAATAACCAGCCCTGGGCCTTGGTGAGCCGTCAGAGCCACAGGAGACGCTTTCCTGAGGCAGTCGCTTTGGCCAGCACCGGATTCCACTAGCTGTGAAGTTCATTGATCACAGTGGGGATCGGAATTCATGGAGGGGGAGGAATTTCGCGAGTGGGAGCGCAGGAAGGGGGGAGTGCAGGGTGGGCAGGAGGGAGCCTGGCAGGCGGGAGCCTGGCAGGCGGGGATGAACTGACCGTGCTTAATGTGGCTGAAAAAGCGAGCAGTGTTCCGCCTGGCTGCGACCCTCCGGTGGGCGACAGCTCTTCCTTCAAGGCTAAACCTACATTCGGAGTGGGATTTGAAGAGGATGTTCCGTGGGGGCTTGGAGGTAGATCTGTGGACACAGAGGCGAAAGGTTTCCTGTTTGCAGGGCGTGTGGTGGGGACCAGCATGAAGGGGCTGTGTCAGACTGGGGCTGAAAGCAAACAGCATCCTTGTCACCGGTCTGTGACACTGGAATCCCGACAAACTGGGCTGTGCTGATGGAGGATGGGCTGCTTCCTGCGGCAGCTCCGTACATCCTGGGCTCCCAGCCGGCCCTGGCCGTGCAGGGCTCAGTGTGCCAGGGCACACGTGTTGTGTCGCTCTGCGGTGGACTGGAAGCTTGTGGTTCTGCTTGGGGAAAACCCTTAGAAGGTGTCAGTGTAGCAAACTCATTTTCTGTCTTTTTAATTTTTGTTCTTGAGCGATAGGAAATGACTCAGCCGGTGTCATAATGACTGTGCAGCTGGGATTTTGTCCCGTGCTCTCGCTCCAGCCTTCTCAATGGCTTCACATCGAGAGCTCGACATCGACTCTCGGCTCTTCAGAAGCGCTTTTGGCCCTGTGCCACCGCCCAGGTATCCCGCCCACGCCTTCCCTGTGCCCACCGCTTCAGCTGGTCCCAAGTGCCCCAGGATCCTCGTGCCCTCTCAGTCCGAGCGCTGCGGGCAGCGGGAGGTCAATGCAACTGCTGCCGTTGTGCCCGGAGAGCCGGAGCGGAGCGCGAGGTGTGCATGGCACGCGTGGAAGGGGCGCAGCGTCACACCGGGTGGGCAGCACAGCTCGCTCCGGGGCGAGCGGTTTGCCAAAGCTCTGCGGTTGGAGTGTTAAAACATCGGGTTTTGGGGTGCCCCCGCGCTGCTCATCCCGGCCGAGATCGCAGCCATTGGTTTCACCTGCTGGCCAACGCGCAGGGAGGTGGCCGTGGATAACCAAGGCCACGCTTTGCCATCCTTGGGAATAGGGCCAGCCAAAAAAGCTCAAGCCGGGCTGTCGCTTTGCGCTTTGCCCTCTGTAATTATTTCACAGTCAGGATCCTTTGCAGCTGAGGTGATGCCCCCATTGTCATCACCTGCTCGGGATGAAAAAATCCTCTTCTCCTGCCAGCGGAGTCCCTCGTGTCCCTTCCCAGTGCTGGGTGTTCCTCTCTGGCTGTGGGAACTGTGGGAACTGCCGGATGATCGCTGCCGGCGGGGGCTTGGCTCTGCCTCCGCTTCCAGGGTAGCCGTATCCTCGCTGGAGATCTGGGCTCTGTGTGCGGGTCCCTGGCAGCTCCGCACTCTGCCTGCGACCTGGGAGGCTTTTCTGCAGAGCTCTCCAGGAAATGCCATTGGAATGACTTCCACTGCAGCTTCCTGCCCGGCCCGCAGAGCATTCCTCCCCTGCCACTAGACCCAGAGCGATGCAGAGGCGAGTTTTCAGAGCTTTGAACCCCATCTACTCACTTCTCCTTCTCCGGGGCCCTGCCTGTTTTCCTTGCTGCCTCCGTGTGTGCGGAGCGCTTCGACTACGTTCCTTGGAGCTGTGATTAGAGCAGGCCCTGGAAGCCACCGCTCCTGCCCATCGCCCACCGCTCCTGCCCATCGCCCACCGCTCCTGCCCATACAGAGCAGCCCACTTAACGCCGCAGCATAGGGGAGCGTTTCCTTTCCTCCCCGGGGAGGCGCTGGGAACTCAGATTCCTGAAGCACTCTGAGGTTCTTTCACGCACAGAACGGAGCGTCGTTTTGGAAAGGCCCGTGAAATAATTATCAAACTGTTTCTTGCTGCTCTGTGTTCGCAGCTGCTCTCGGTCGTGTCAGTCTGTGATCATCCTGCTCCTCTGACGCCGGAGCTGGGTGCCCCCCGGGCACTCCCCATTTCAGCAGCAGCAGGGTGTCCCGCTGCAGCAGGCGGGGTGGGAGGGAGCAACGGGCTCTTTTTTTCCCAAGTGGAAGCTGCAGCTTTCTGGACGTGTCCGGGGTACCTGATTTCGGTGGAGCTCCTGCACCGTTCATGTACATGGTTGACCCCCGGGAGTGGCGGTACCCCTGCAGCCCACACCGGGCATGGGCTGAATGGTGGCATGATGCTTCGAGCCCTTTGCCTGAGCTGCTCTCCTTGGATTTTTACGGAGCTGCTGGTGGCTGTAAGCACAGTCCCATCCTGATGTTAAAGGAATATTTCTCTAGCAGCTCTTTCCCCGCTAACTGTGGAGCCGGAGTGTTCCCAGGAGGAGCTGGGGGAAGGGAAGGGATGGATATCAGTTGGAGGAGCGTTGCAGACCAAAAAAAATTAATGGTGGCTGGGGCCGTGGGAGCAGGGAGAGGCTGGGGGCGGCCGCTCTCTCCCCTCCGGTGATCCCGACAGCGGTCGGGATGTTGACCTGCCTGCCAGCTGATCCAGTGCGGAGGCAGGCTCCGCTCTGCGGGGCGCAGGGGAGCAGGAGGATCTCCTCCTCCGCCCTCCGGACAGGGATGTCACCCCTCAACGCTATTGTTCCGGGTGACTAAGGATTAAGCCAGATAATGGAGGCATGAAAGGGAAGCGGTGTCCCTCGGTGCCAGGGCACTCCTTGTTTTGCTGCCCTGGCCTTGGACAGGGAAACCGTTCCTCCTCCCTGCTCCCTGCCTGGGAGGCCGTGCAGAGGGGTGTTTGATGCAGGATCTCTCTGAAGTCCCGCTCCCGATCGTCCTTGGGATGCCAAGGGCTTAAGTTAGAGGAACGTGCTTTCTGGAGGCAGGCAAGAGCTTTCCCACTGCGGGAGGACGCGGAGGCTAT